TTCTTCCCCTGCTGTTTGTTCAGCTTTTCGAGTACTTTTGTGTTTAGTGTGTTCTACGTCGGCGGTGGCTGTAGGTTGAGCAAGAGGACCTGCCGGAGCCGTATGATAAGCGCTTCCTAACTGCTTAGGACTCATATTTTCATGCAAGTTCGTCGGAAGATTCTCATAGTCCGCCCCTAATGCAGCATTCTCAAATCCAGCGCCCACCTTATCACCGGGTGACGGCAAGTTGGCTTTCGGTTGCTTGGCTTGCGACTTTTGCCCTGCTGTTTGTTCAACTTCTCGACGTCTTTTGTTTCTAGTGTATTTTACACCAGCTGTGGCTGTGGGTGGAGCACATCGACCTGCCGGAGCCGCCAGTTGAGTAATTCCTGACTGCTTAGCACTCACACTGTGATGAAAGTTCGTCGGACAATTCACATCCTCCGCCCCTAATGCAGCATTAGCAAACCTAGCGTCTATAGTGTCACTTACAACGGAAGAATGCACTTCTTTGACAAGACCTAAATTTTCACCAGGATTTTCTTCTTCCGCTTCTCCCTTTCCATCAACTTCTTCCATAGTTTAACTGTACTTGCTTGTTCGAGTCTCCTAACTTGATCCTGTATGACCTGCAGTTGTTCCTGGAAAGATCTAGTATCCGTATGCTGTCCGAGTCCGATCTTGTATTTGACTCTGACGTCCTAGGTGTGCTGGACTTTTTTAAGCCCACAGCTCCATCAACATTTTCTTCGAGTATTTTAGCATACTTCAACTCGAATAAGTCTTGTAACTTACGTGCCATGGCCACCACATCATGATCGGGAGGGTTGTGCTGGTAACATTTTGTGAATATTGTGACATGTAGTGTAGTCTCTTTTTCCGTTTTAGACGGGGTCGTCTCCTCCACAAGGTCCAATCCTTTTGTTGCCGTAGGCTGACAGAAGATCCAACCATTCCCTCCGCGATCTTCACGCTGACAATCCCGTAGATGTTCTTCTTACTAATTCTCCCTTCTTGGTGCGATCGCTCTCCTGATCTACACCCTCCGATGACTTCCTTGGTTGTCACCTTTTCCGTCTGGCATCCGAAGGTTCCTTGGGGAGTTTCCTTCTTGAAGGCATTTCTCCAACGTCGTGCCACTGTCGCGCGACGGGATATCTTCCTGCAGATGGCAGCCAAATTCATCCGGGATTCATGATGTCCTTGGGTCCAAGATTTTCTGACGATATTCCTCCGACGCCACGCCACTGTTGCATGGCGGGACACCTTCCTGCGGACGACGGCCAATTTATTCTAGGGGCCGCATTTTTCCCGTGTAGGGTTCTTCATAATTCGTCGTTTTCTGTCCCTACGCCTTTTCTTCTTCGGTTCTCCGACCGGCATTACTTCGGCGTCTTCTACGGGCACCTCTCGTTGTTTTGCCGCTTCAGGTGTCATGTCCACAGAGGCTGGCTCTTCTTCTTCTAGACGTGCCTTCATCTCTTGCCAGGCCATCGTCTCTCCGACCGGTATTATTTCGGGGACCTCTTCTTGTTGTGCCATTCTTGCTTGGCAGGCCAACGTCTCATTATCTTCGTTAGGAATCGACTGTCGGTTAACTACAACCGCTTTTCCTCTTGGATTTTTCTCCGTCGAATCCTTGAAGGCTGCCGTCTCTTCCTGCCAGGCATTGAAGTCGGCGTCTAATTTTGTAAGCATGACGTCGATTTGTTTTTGATTGACGTCTAATTTTGTCAGGAAATCTTCTCTGTCTTTTTTTCGGTTGGCTTCCATTCTGTCTTCCATCCACACTCGGTCGGCATCTGCTTTTACTTCGTTTGCCCTAATCTCTTTCAGCATTTCTTCCTTCTCCGCCTTCCTTTCTTCCTTCTCGATTTTTCTATCGGCCTCCGCCTTCGCCATCATTTCGATTATTCGCTGCATCTCCATTTTGTAGCAGTAAAATACTCTATGCACAATAATTCAATTATTTGTCGAGGCGTGTTCAAGTTTGTATCCCACTTCTGACACCAGTTGTCACGTATTGGGTGTATAACGCGACGAATAACTTCACGCCGTATTTGATATCATCATCATCATCATCATTAGTAATCTGTCAAGACGACAGGTACACAGTCTCTTTCAAAACAATTCCTCCACTTAATGCGATCTAGAGCTTTCTCCTTCAAATGACAGTATCCTCTTCTGTCCCCAAGGTCATCCAGCATCTTCTTACGTCTTCTTCCTCGTCTTCTTGTCACTTCTATCCGCCCATCTATCTTTCCTTC